TTTATCTACAAGCAGCTGATGCAGGCAGGTTGCAAGCAGCTCAATGAAATGATTTGCAGCAGGTTCTTATTAAACAGGCAGGTTGCAAGCAACTCATGCAGACACCTTATAAGCAGCTAAAGAAAAGCCTTGCAGCTGCTTCCTGAAAAGTCTCGCAGCTGCTTCATTTCTTTTATAAATAGAGGAGTCTTCAGTTCATTATGTACATAAATTTGAAGTTTGAATAATATATCAGTTTCTCTCTATACTTGTCTTTACTTTAAAGTCTTTATTTTATAACAAATCACAAATTATAATTAGCTATAAAAATGTAGTGGTTTTTGAAATTTCGGTTGGAGCTGCCAACTTCCAAACCAACAAAAACGGGTCGATCCACGTGACCCGTTAAGGTAAATACCTAGAAATTTTCAACACTTTTCCTATTAACTAGGAAATCGCCTCCTTATTTGTCCCCCTCTTCTCCAAAAAAAAGTCCAAAACTTTGCGGCAATGGCGGCCATGATCCGCCTGTTCAGATCTTCATCTTCATCCATTGCCCTTAGGTCTTTTTCCACAGCAGCTGTATCTGAGACTTTGAAGTCCCAATCTTACCCTCACAATCCCCTCCCTACTAATATTGAACCCAAGGGTAAAACTGTTCAATGGGTTTTCTTAGGCTGTCCAGGTGTCGGAAAAGGTACTTATGCTAGTCGCCTTTCTACCCTTCTTGGCGTTCCTCATATTGCCACTGGTGATCTTGTCCGTGAAGAGTTGAATTCTTCTGGCGCTTTATCCAAACAAGTATGTTTTTTTAACCTTTTTTTTCAATTTTTTTGTTTAAGAATTTCTTATTGCCTGTGTAGATTGATGCAATCTTAATATATGTATGTACATATTTGAGATATTAACTTAAATAGCTGACATATGTATAATATATGCATAATTAGTGTATAAAATATGTTATTGGTTAGCGGCTGTAAATATTTTTGGCCGAGCTAACAAATGTGTAACTTCCCCTACATATCTTCAACCAAAAAAATTGTTTTTACATATACATTCAGGTGTTTGAGATAGTGGTGCATGATTATTTGCTGAATTTGCTATAATGTTAAGATTAACTCAAAAGTATAGTTGTGGGGCTATAAGAATGTCAGCTTTATGATTTGATAATGATATAATGCTTATTGAAGTATTATTTGGCTTTAGATCTGGAAGCAGAGACGGAGGTAGGATTTTGAGTTTATGGATTCTAATTTTTAGAAAAGGCATCTTATTGGGTTCTCGATAACTTAGTGGGTGTTTGGACATAAGAATTGTGAAATTCCGGAAAAAGTAATTTTTTTTTCAAGCGAAAATGTTATTTGAAAATTAGAGTTGTGCTTGGACATGAATACAATTTGAAGTTGTTTTTGAATTTTTGTGAGTGATTTGAAGTGAAAATTTGAAAAACAGTTTTTTTGAGTTTTTCAAGTTCCGAATTTCAACTTCAAGTTCATGACCAACCGAAAAAAGTGAATTTTTTTATATGGCCAAACGGGCCCTTATTTATGCATATTAAATGAATTTTTAAACACAAATATATGGTTTGGGTCAAAGCTAATGATTTCTTTACTGATTGATAAACAATTCCGAATCAAATTAGTGCTGATTACTCGTACTTTTGAATCTAGTTTGGGAGAGCAGATTTGAGCCATTCAGGTACTGTCAGGATAGAAGTCTCTGATCCGTTAATAAACAATTCAGAGATTTGGTGGAAGCTTAATTACTAAAAGGAGGTCTTATCCAGATTTTTACTTGCTTTAGTGTTGTCCATGGCAAACAAAGTAGAAAAGTGCCTAAAAGCTGTTGGGGCTTTAATCGCAAAGCATAATTAAATTGAAGACCTTTGTGAAGAAAGGTGCAAATGAAAAAAAAAATGTATGTTATGCAAGAAAAATTTCACTATAAACACAAACAACAATATTTGTAACGATGAAATGAAAAAATTACAATCAAGTAAAATATAGAGATATGGTAATTGAGTAATCATATGGCCAATCCCAGCTTGAGTTTGGGATTAAGGCATAGTTGTTTTTATTATATGCATTTCTAGCTTTATGTTGGTGCTTAGCTAAATTGGTTCATCTCATGATCGGCTTCATTCTCTTTCAGCTTGCAGAGATTGTCAACCAAGGAAAATTGGTTTCAGATGAGATAATACTGAATTTACTATCTAAGAGGCTCGAGTCTGGGGAAGCTAAGGGTGAAGCTGGATTTATACTTGATGGATTTCCTAGAACTGTGAGACAAGCGGTGAGTATGCATTCAATTCTCCTACATAAAATCTCTCAATTTCAATTTTGTCTATTCTACACCTCTTGGCTACCATCTCCAAAAACCTTATTTGTATGAGGTTGAATATTACGATCTGATTATCAGTGAGAAATAATTAGGCTAGGACAGTGATAAACTGAGAATGAATTCTTCTCACCAAAGAAGAGAAATGTAAGAAGTTAGAGGCGAAGTGCTGCTCACTTTAGTTGTCAATTGTCATGTTAAATGCATTAACTTGACTAGTGGGAGGCAAGAAAGGTGCTTGAAAATAGTGTATTACTTACTTAATAGACTTCATAGAAGAGGATTCTGTTACCAGTGTTCAACAAAGGAGTTTCTTGAATGCTGGGAATTCTGCCCTGTTCGCACTACTTTATTGTCTAAATGGATAGGAACTTTTGGTAAAAAGCATTGACAGGACTTCTGATTTATATCAGAGGTGTTAGACGAAATTCTTGTGCAAGTTCTATAACATTTGTGTCTATTTCTGCATCAGGAAATATTGACTGAGGTGACAGACATAGATTTGGTGGTTAATCTCAAGCTCCCAGAAAAGGTATTGGTTGAGAAATGCCTTGGCCGAAGGATTTGTAATGAATGTGGAAAGAATTTCAACGTAGCATCTATAGATGTCGCGGGTGAAAATGGGGCTCCTAGAATCAGCATGGCTCCACTTAATCCTCCTTCTCAGTGTATATCAAAGTTAATCACTCGAGCAGATGATACAGAAGATATCGTTAAGGAAAGACTTCGTATATACTATGATAAGGTATTGCTTCAATATCTGAACCACAATATTTTCAAGTTCACTACTACTTAAATAAGCATTTTTTTCCTCACGTGAGTAAGTATTCTCAAACCACAAATTTTTGGGTAGAATTAAGCGTAAGCATCTAATACTGATACTCACCTTTCTTGTGATAATCTTCTGATCTCTTTAATCAAATAGCTCTAGAAATTGTTAGTTAACAGTCATTCAAGCATTTATGATACTATCATATGTCTCTAGAAAATAGAAAAGTAGAAGAGTTGTATGATTTCTGCTCTTTTTTATGATTGCAGAGTCAGCCCGTTGAGGACTTCTACCGAAACCAAGGAAAGTTACTGGAATTTGATTTGCCTGGAGGCATCCCAGAATCATGGCCCAAGTTGTTGGAAGTACTCAACCTTGATGAGCAGGAATATAAATTGTCTGCTGCAGCTTAGTTTCTATTAGCTGCTTCGCATGTATGATGCGTGCTTAAAACAATTTTGCAGAAAAAAACATATTCATTGTTTTCCCTTTCTATTTTTCTTTTTCCTCTTAATTTAAGTCAAATAACAAATCTCTTGAGTGTACTTTGAAGCCGTTAAAAACGGTGGCTGCCTTTGATGAATTTCAAATTTGTTCAGTGAAGAGGTCTGTTGTACTATAGTTGCAGCAACTGTTAACAAGGAGATTATTTTTTATATCCTGTAATAGGGTTATAGTAATGACACCGTTTATTATAAATTTTGACATATAATCTGATATAAGCAACTGATATGGTTTTATTTTGACTGTACTGGGAAATTAATGTCATGTTTCTTGATCCTTTGGCAATTCTCTATCTGTGGTACTTGTTCTCTTGCTCAAAAGACAGGAGTGAAAGATGTGAGGTGGCTTCTTTTTTCCTTTTTTTCTTCTTCTTCAAGGGATGGTCCTGTGGGTCTTCTCTCTCTTCGCCCTCTAATCACCGCCGTCTTCTCTCTCTTCGCCCTTTATCACCGTCGTCTTTTCTCTCGTCGCTCTCTTGACTGACGCTAATGCCCTTATTACAGCAACACCTCGACATCCTAATCGGTGATCTAGGTTCTCTTTCATTCTTGTAAAACTGCTTTAGTTAACAGTGCATATTTGTTTGTTTGTAGTTTCGTGCAATGGTCTTAGTTAGGGGTGTCAATGGATATTCGAAAACCGACTGATCCGAACCGATTTTTAGGTTTCTATTAAAGAAACCGTAGGTTTTTATATAAATTTATAGTCACACCGGTAATTAGTGTAGGTTTTTTATTTTATGAAAATAAACCAAAAAAATACCGAACCGTACCGAATAAATTTTACATGTGAAAAATATATTTATATAGTAAGTTTAAAAATAATAATGCATTAAATTTTTCTTTGGGCCTTGGAATTATGAAAACTATTACAAGCCAACAAGTAATTAAACTTAAAATACTAATTCCTAAAACCTATTATGCTACTTCTACTTAAACTAAGTTATTTCAAGTATCTTTATTAGCAAGACACAAAGTATTCTAGCGATTATGAGTAGCAAACTATAATGTATTGAATATGTTTCCTTTCATATAATTTAAATTTATCATTTTGAATATTTAATCTTCTATAAAATTTATTCTTGAGTCCCAGCTTGGTTAATATCTTTTCACTCGTATGATTTATATTTTTTTTTGCCTTTGCTTGATTTCTTTTACGTTGTTGTAGAATAGTTGATGGATCTATACTCTAACCATCTTTTATTTTTTTTAATTCATCACCCTTTAAACAGTAAAAATGTCTATAGAGTTTTGCTAAGTCCTATAAAATAACATATGTTATTGCATTCTACTTCTATTGGTGAATTTTACATGATATTTAAAAAAATACCAAAAATTAACCGAACCGTAACGATACCGAAGAGAAATCAACATGATTGGGATGGTTTCGAAAAGTCTAATTTTGGTTATACATAATAGAATAACCAAAAAATTGATATGATACAAATTTTATAAAATAACCGGCTGAACCGAACCATTAACACCCCTAGTCTCAGTAGAGTACTTATCTGCTTGCATGTAGTATCGACTTGGTGTTTTAGTTTAAATTTTTGTACATTGCCTAGTAGCGTGTTGTTGCTTTGCTATTATCTGTTGCTTTGCTTCTACTGCGTTCTTTATTAGTCATTGTGCTTTAATCATGGTTAATCTATTTAGCTCAATTGTATCTGTTTACGGACCTTTTTAGTGGTTGTATTGAACGATGGCAGGGTAAGATCATGTCCTCGGGGGTCCTCAGGGGGTTGGGGGTGTAAGGTGCAAAAGAAGTAAGGGTAGTAAGGATGCCTCTAGGATGCGAGTTGGGTCTTGGAATATAGGTACTTTGACGGGTTAGTCTGTAGAGTTAGCGAAGATTCTCCATAAGAGGAAGGTCAATATAGCTTATCTGCAGGAGACTAGATGGGTGGGAGATAAGACACGAGATGTAGATGAGTTTAAGCTTTGGTACTCTGGATGTGTGGGGGCAAGAACGGAGTAGGTATTTTGGTTGATAGGGATATTTGGGAGCTAGTGGTGGAGGTTAGGAGGGTGAACGACAGGTTGATGGGCATTACACTAGTTGTTGGGGGGTTTTACTCTAAGGGGTCATTTGATATAGAGTATAAGAATAATGCTGAATATGGTATATTAATAATGTTGGTATTAGTTATGCTGACATTAGTTATGCTGAAATATTTCTTATCCATTGTTTGGTTTGATGTATTAAAGCATTTCTCAATTTCTAAAAAAATTATTTGTTTACAAAAATGACCTCATAACCAGTCCACAACTTTATTATTTTAAAAGAAACATATGTTGAGGAATATTTTTATATGAAAAAGGTTTTTAAGAAAATTATTTGATTTGTCTATCTATATTGTAGTATAGAACTGAATATTTATTTATAAAAAAGAAAATATGCTAATTATTTATTTATTTACTAAGGATATAATTTTATTTTCCACTTTCTTGGATTATTTCAAACTTGTATTAATATAATAGCATATTTTAATCAAGCATAAATTTTGAAGGACAATTTTGTCTTTAACTAAGCTAATGCATTCATTAAAACTCACTGAATTGAAAATACCATGGTTTCTTATGCATAAGTTATGCATAGGATAATACCAAATAAGATGTATAACTAATGTTTGCATAACTAATGCATAAGTTCAAAAAGTGTACCAAACAAGGTATTATTAATAGCTAAAGCTAATGCATACATTATTTTATCTAATGCATCCTACCAAATGACCCCTAAATGTGATGAGTGCGTACGCCCCTCAAGTTGGGTTGGATGAGGAGGTCAAAAGGCATTTCTGGGAGGATTTTGACAAGATTGTGCGTGGTATTTCGCACACTGAGAAGTTATTCATAGGAGGGGATTTTAATGGCCACATTGGGGTGACGTCTGGGGGCTACGATGATGTGCATGGTGGTTTCGGTTTCGGAGTTAGAAATGGAGGTAGTACGTCCCTACTAGATTTTGCTAAGGCTTTTGATTTGGTGATTGCTAACTCTAGTTTCCCGAAGAAGGAGGAGCACTTGGTCACCTTTCAGAATTCGGTGGCCAGGACCCATATTGATTATCTACTCTTAAGGAAGTCTGATAAAGGTCTGTGCGCGGACTGTAAGTGTCACGACCCAAAATTACATGACTGGCACCCGGCACACTATCCAACCTGGGCGAACCAAACCGTACAAGAATGTCCATCTATATGCAAAATAAATACATGTGGAAGTCTTTTTGAAAACACAATCATTTTAAATGATTAAAAACCATACATAAAACAAAGTCTTTAAATCCATTATTTTTCAATAATTGGAAAATATACAAAAGAATAACAATATTTCTTTCATGCATGACATACGAATAACTCTCGATTACAACTCAAAAAAAGAATAACAACTGTCTATGGAATCTCTAAGACACAATGATGAAATAAATACTTGGGACAGACCCAACCAAAAGTAAGTAAGATCAACATGAAGGCTACTACATAATAGAAGTGGTGCCTTGCTATATGCTTCGGAAAGAGAGTCATCTTATTGCCCCATCTAGTCATCATATACCACGTCTCATCCTGAAAACATGTAAAGTAAGTGGGACCATGAAGAGAGGCCCCTGAGGGCTGAGTACACCATGACGGTACTCAATAAGTATCATAGACTCTCTCTAACTCAAGTTTCTGGGAATTACAAAAATAATGAAACCAACATTGATATAAAACGATAACAATTATATCAATTCATGCTCTTTATCATTTTAAATGAAAAGACTAGAAAAATGTAAATCATCATATAAATTTTTAAAACATTTATACCAACCCATGATTCTAATAAAATCATGTAAAATCATTTCAACTTCATTAAGTCATTGGAATCACTTTTGGCTCCTTAGGCCTAAACATAAGAAAATTAGCTTTTACCTTTTCACCGGGAGTACTCTACCGACACCGACATAATAAACAATTAGTAGGTGATCAACCTAGCAACAAATATTTGACCCTACTTGTCTGGGCGACTTCCCAGAGTGTCGTACGAGTCGACTTAACCTCATTACTGTAAGTAATGATCATTTGCCCTCTCAATGGGGGACTTTATACCACAAACCTCGGCTTAGCCTTGGAGTGTGTCCCTACACCGGCACATGTAGTTCCATTGTAACAAACTCAACATTCGAACCAATCTCGGTGGTCTCCACTAGTAACTCCCAAAACATTTGATATTTCAAAAATAGATTCATAGCATATTAGCCTCAAAGGATCTATTTTTATCAAATCATTGCTCGTGGCCAAACTAAACCATTTGAATAAAACAATCAAACATATGATCTTTTTCATGTTAAAGCCTTTAGCAATTTAACATCCATTTTTCAAATATACAACGAATGCTATCCATAATCATGTTTCAAAAAGAAATACTTTTCATAAAAATACATCTTCAGCACTCAAATATTATATATTCTTTCCAATACTCAAGTTTGAATAAAACTTATAACATTTTCCTCAAGCATCGTTTGACATCGAATCTTTAGAAACAAGATTTTTCAATTGTAAAACAACAAAACTTTCTTTATGCAATACAACTCCAAATACATGGTGACATCCTTTCCCGCTTATCCCCACAAGTATGAATGCACATTTACAAATTCACGAAATAACTCAAATATATCAAGAAGAGTAAGTATTAATCAACTTACCTCAAGTCCAAGCTTCAAATTATTAGTACGATGCTTCAATTCATTTATAACTCTCAAACATCGCCAACAAGCCAATATCTACATTAGACATCCCAAGATATCAAAATATATCCAAATATATGTCGATACCCGTTTAAGGTTCACAAGTTAACTATAAGTCTTCAACAAACCCAATTCACCCATACATATCCCTTTTATCCTTAGTTGCTTACATTATTGGCATTTAAGCTTAATACATGTTATACGATTCAATACTTAATCATGATTAAGCTATTGAAGTACTAGGATCACTAATCATCTTAACAAGATTCAAAAATTCACTATTCATCTTCTTCTCCATTCAAGAACTCTAACTCACAATACCCATTTCAAGGACTAGCATAATTCTTCAACCAATTGGTACTTTCTACTTCACAATACATTCCAAATACTTAATTCATAGATATATTTTAGTGTAGGGTAGGGATTTTACCTCTTGTAGCTCAAACCCTAACTTGAACCCTTTTGAATAATTCTTGAAGATTAGAGGAATCCCTATAAATTTCAATCTATGTAGATGTTAATACTATCATTAACTAGTGTTAATCCATTATAAAAATATCATAAAACTCACATGTGATGTGTATTTGGGTTGGGAATGATCCACCTTCTCTCTAGAACCCAAAACTTAGCCAAAAAATGAAATTTCTTTCTCTTTCTCCCCGAATCCCCTTATTTTTATAGAAAATAGCCTGCGTAGCCTACACATATTGGCTACGCAGGCCTGTGTAGCCTTCGCAGCTTAAGCCCCCCCACTTCCATTCTGTTTTTGCCTATGCAGCTTGCGTAGGCTACGCAAGATGGCTACGCTGGTCTGCTGGAATCCTTTCCTCCCTCTTAGCTCAATCATTCCAATCTATGCCTTTAATCATACAACTTGAGGACCTTAAATTCATCTTACCTTCATGCATAAGTATCGTAATGATCCTATTACCCTCGTGTGGGTTTGCAAGCACTTTGAGGTCTCGCAAAATATTCTCTTAAGCTCGAGTTCGGCTTAATCTTGTTAAAATTTTTTTCTGGGGCTTCACAATCTCCCCCACTTAGAACCATTTGTCCTCGAATGTCATGGTGAAGACGAAATCAAGTTAAAATATCCAATCACAACCCTTTTTGACCATTGCACCAAATAACCTCATTATTACTCATCCCTTTTGGCTAATTCTCCAAATTCTCAAAAATTTCGGCAGAGCTTCCTTTATTTCTAGGCCTATCTAAATTTTCTTCACTTGCTAGCGAGCCACAGGGATACAAATAAATAAGCCAACACTGCTCTACACATCATAGCAATATCAACAATATAACATCGATCTCATGTGACTCAAATCATAACTGCGTAGCCACTTTCGGCATCACAACAATAAAATCTATTATAATGAGTCAAATCTAGCCATCATAGGCAATAACTGAATCAACAACACTAATAATATGTGCAACCCTCAACTTATAATCAAGATAAATAAATTACTTACTCGTTCCATGGAGTCAAAATACGATATTCACCAAATTTGAAGATTTTAAGAAATAATCATGAATGTAGTTTCGAACAAGTGTGGATATCCAATTTTTCATATTCTCCTAGGCCACCCAAGTGACCTCCTCGAAGTCATGATTACACTAATATACTTTAGCTGAAGCAATAATTTGAATTCCCAACCACGGACTCGCATAACAAGAATCTAAATTGATCCTTCCTTGTAAATCGAATCATAACTATTAATATCCAAACATGCTACCAAGAATTGACAATAACATTACCTTTAAGGTTATCTCATTCACCATATGAATCACATATGACTCATCGTACGTATACTCTCGTAGTTAGGGAATTATAATATCAAATCCACTAACATTAGTTATGGTAGCAAAGTAAACTCACGTGCACACCTTCTCTCCTTTTAGAAACCATACGCAACCTCGAAAAAGCAGGCGCTTCCATATGGGGCTTGCAACACTTTTCATTAACAATTCCATTTTATGAATATTACGTCATATTTCTTAAACCATGTTCTAGGTGAAGTCCATCCGAATAACAACTTTACACTTGAGACGCCATGTATTTATTTCCATCCCTATATCTTTTATAGTTCTCTTAGAACCAAAGTTTTACCATAAGGCTTAAATTAACCTTATATAATTCGTCCTCTATTTTCAAACTTTTTGACGAAATTTACACTTAAGAGTTTTTCTTTATGGGTTAGGATCTCATTTATCAACTTTCTTGCAGAAAAGATTTTAAAATCATGTAACTCCTTTATTCGGATATTATTCACGATGTCATTCATCCATTCGAAACTCTTGAGACTTAAGTTCATCTGCATCCATTTAGAACATTACTTTATCCCTTTAAAAATCAAGCACGGCATTGTCTTACCTTGTTTGCCAATAACGTGTAGTTTATCTCCTTGCCCTTACGGCAATCATAACCAGAAATTCTTCAATCCCTAACTTGTTAATCATCATAGCTAATATGCCATCTTTATAGAAAATATTCATTCCACACTATTACTAAGTTTGTGACACACACATCAGCCATCGATTTCTTAATGTCAACATTCGTAGTTCCATTCGCTAGGATTTTGTTTTCATCATAGTAACACCACTACATGTAGTCCTTCGACGCTTGGCCTTCTATATAATCCCTCTTAAGGATTATCGCTCCCTTCCGATATACTGGATTCACTTGGGCATCATGTCTCAACTTATATAGCCCACTTCATGTTTAGGAATATACTCGGAAAAAATATTTCTCTATTTCCTCTAGCTACTTTTGCACAATAACATTTTGATGTTTATTCACATTTTTTTTCTTTTAAACTGGTATTCAAGTATTCAAGTATTCAAGTCGGTTCATACCCAAACCGAACCTCTAAGACTCAATTGAACCATTTGATTGTTCATTGGTAACTTGTTCGAACAATAATAATCTACCTCTTTAATTTTCACAACAAAAATATTGTACCTCTTTTATTTACAATAAACTTGTAGCTCCAGTACAACCTACTTTATTGCTTTTACATTTTGTCCACTCTTGGAAGATATTGATAAATTTAACTTGTCTTTTCCGTTTCCGACAGGTAAGATCTCTCCTTCCTTCACGCATCACCTTAAGGTGAAATTACATGTATGGCTCTCCCCCACTTAAGAGTGAATCCGTTCATAAGCTTCTACGCTTCTTCCATAGACTTTACAAAGTCTTTAAACCATAAGTACACTTGCCCGGTATACTTACGTAACTACCCTAATGTTAAGGGTCATTTATTTCCCAATCAAGAATCTTTTCTCATAGTTTCCACTTCCGACTGAGTTTGACTTAGATCTCATGATCATCATATTCGTGTTATCTTTTGATTCTGGCGATATGATTGAATCTCTACACTCATCATAGCTCTCCTGGTTCCTTTCCCTTCTTAAATACCATGACACTTTCAACCCACAACTCATGTTTCTAAGTATAATGATTCTCCACCCTTACTAAAATATTATGATTAACATATTTCTCTTTCTGTATCTGTACAGATCTCATAACTTTACTAACGTGCACACTTATTGATCTTAGCTGAGATCTGCATTTGGAGTACAACTCTGTTATGTTATTCATGAGTTCATATTCACATATATTTTTCTACAAGTACAACTTCCTTATGTTTCTGAGTCCATGCCCGAATATGTCATTAACAAGCACGACTTCATTAAGCTCTAAGCCGAAGCTCAACCATTTTGAACAAGTATGAATGCTTCACATGAATTCGTATATCATATCTTTATGCAACTTTTAATAATAACTCTTTTTTTTTCAGCAATTATAATGCAAGCAACTCACAACCTATCTTTACATGCCATATAGACTTTCAAACCACGTCTCCGTACGTATTTGTTTTTTCTCTTTTTCCTTTTCGATCATACCCTTACTACCCATGAATTTTAACATGTGTTTACACAATGAGATCCTCCATATCTAATAGTATCCTTAGCCTCATTTCCACACAACATCTTTAGGATGAATGAGACATTAATACATATATTTGAAACACTTACAATTCGTCAACTTTCGAAATATAATATTACTGTTCTCCAGCTCTTTAGCCTTAATTCGTTCATGTAATATTTTACAACTCCTCAAAAGTATTACCTACCCTCGTACTTCATTCAACACATTCAACCCCTTTACAATATAAGAGTTTTAATCAATCCATACTCAGCTGCTCCATTGGCCCATATAAAGCTTTTTGGAGTAAAACTTCACCTTTCACAAATTTATCAACACCAATGAGACATACCGTGTCTATACAAGTTTAATATCGCCCTTTCATGAAAACTTGCCTTATAAACAATTTATCTTACCCCTTTAACCTCTGAGGTCATGCCTTTTATACACTTCGTACCTTAACATGTCATCATATCTATTCTAGTATCTTTATATCATTGCAATGTATATCAATAATTATTATTAACAATTAATTCCCTTCATAATATCTTGATCGCTCAGAAATGCGCTTGATACTCTAGACATGTCGTTGTTAGCTCTTGTGACATGATAATGACTATAACCTGTCATACTAAGTGTCCATCTTGCCCACATCAACTTTCAGTATCCATCTATAACAATCCGGGACTCGAACTTTTTTAGTCGACTCAAACTTTGTACACTTCGTACCTTGTCATGCCTTTTATACACTTCGTACCTTGACATGTCATCTATATTCACTCGATTGAACTTTACCTCTCCTTGTTCTACTTGTCTTTCAGAACTGGTAGCTAACATATTATATTCATGTCCTTTTTCTTGAGTAGTCCCAACCATATACCAGGCCACTAGGGTCATGCCCTCTCAAGATGTGACTATTCTTTCTGGTAGCACAAACTTCCTGCAATTCTCGATGTATCACGGTAACGGTCAACGCGATTCACGTCTTATATTCCTTCAAACAGTCATTAGCTTTTGACAAAAAAACATATGATTCGTTATTGCATCATTCGATTTGAATCCATTTTATTTCATTTCTTATCTTTTCCCTCATATTCATATACAGAGGAACCGACTCTTTATTGCTAGCTCATCTAGTAGCTAGTGTCGTTACTTACATCTCAAGCATTATGATCAACACTCTCCTTTGTAAACCCCGCCAGGATGTCAATACATACACACGATTTTCTCCTCACTTCAAGCTTTAACGTACGATCTAGAGTGAGAAGAAAGTAATGAGACAATCCTACAATGTCCATGTAACCTTCCCGTTATAGGTATGGTGCACAACACACCAATGGAAAACTCTACTAGACACGATTCCATAGACTTCCTAGGACTCGAATTAGAACCTAGTACTCTGATACCAAGTTTGTCATGACCCAAAATCACGTGACCGACACCCAGCATACTATCCAACCCGGGCGAAACAAACCGTACAAGAATGTCCATCTATATGAAAAATAAATACATGCGGAAGTCTTTTTGAAAACACAATCATTTTAAATGATTAAAAACCATACATGAAACAAAATCTTTAAATCCAATTGAAAAATATACAAAAGAATAACAATATTTATTTCATGCATGACATACGAATAAATTTTGATTACAACTCAGAAAAAGAATAACAACTGTCTGTGGAATCTCTAAGACACAATGATGAAATAAGTACTTGAAGACAGACCCAACCAAAAGTAAGTAAGATCAACATGAAGGCTACCACGGAATAGAAGTGGTGCCTTGCTATATGCTTCGAAAAGAGAATCATCCTATTGCCCCATCTGCTCATCATGTACCACGTCTCATCCTGAAAATATGTAAAGTAAGTGAGACCCTAGAGAGGGGCCCCTGAGAGCTGAGTACACCACTACGGTACTCAATAAGTGTCATAGACTCTCTCTAACTCAAGTTTCTGGGACTTGGCTTTACAAAATAAATGCAACCAATATTGATATAAAATGATAACAATTATATCAATTCATGTTCTTTATCATTTTAAATGAAAAGAATAGAAAAATATAAATCATCATATAAACTTTTAAAATATTTATACCAATCCATGATTCTAATAAAATCATGTAAAATTATTTCAACTTCATTAAGTCATTGAAATCACTTTAGCCTCCTTAAGCCTAAACATAGCAAAATTAGTTTTTACCTTTTCACCGGGAGTACTATACCGACACCGACATAATAAATAACTAGTAGGTGATCGACCTAGCAACAAGTATTTGACCCTACTTGTCTGGGCAGCTTCCCGTAGTTCCATACGAGTCGACTTAACCTCATTACTTTAAGTAATGATCATTTTCACTTTCAATGGGGGACTTCATCCCACAAACCTCGGCTTAGCCTTGGAATGTGTCCCTACACCGGCACGTGTAGTTCCATGGTAAGAAACTCAATATTCGAACCAATCTCGGTGGTCTCCACTAGTAACTCCCAAAATATTTGATATTTCAAAAATAGATTCAGAGCATATTAGCCTCAAAGGATCTATTTTTATCAAATCATTGCTCATGTCCAAAGTAAACCATTTGAATAAAACAATCAAACATATGATCATTTTCATGTTAAAGCCTTTAGCAATTTAACATCCATCTTTCAAAGATACAACGAATGCTATCCATTAATCAAGTTTTAAAAGGAAATACTATTCATAAAAATACATCTTCGGCACTCAAATATTTTATATTCTTTCCAATACTCAAGTTTGTATAAAACTTATAATATTTTCCTCAAGCATCGTTTGGCATCGAATATTTAGAAATAAGATTTTTCAATTGTAAAACAACAAAACTTTCTTTATGCAATACAACTCCAAATACATGGTGACATCCTTTCCCGCTTGTCCCCACAAGTATGGATGCACATTTACAAACTCGCGTAATAACTCAAATATGATTTTAGAGAAAATTCCTTAAGAAGAGTAAGTATTAATCAACTTACCTCAAGTCCAAGCTTCAAAATAATAGTACGACGCTTCAATTCATTTATAACTCTCAAACGTCGCCAACAAGACAATATCTACATTAGACATCCCAAGACATCAAAATGTATCCAAATATATGTCGATACCCATTTAAGGTCCACAAGTTAACTATAAGTCTTCAAGCCCAATTCACCCATACATATCCCTTTTATCCTTAGTTGCTTCCATCATTGGCCTTTAAGCCTAATACATGTTATACGATTCAATACTTAATCATGATTAAGCTATTGAAGCACTAGGATCACCAATCATCTTAACAAGATTCAAAAATTCACTATTCATCTTCTTCTCCATTCAAGAACTCTAACTCACAATACCCATTTCAAGGACTAGCATAATTCTTCAACCAATTGGTACTTTCTACTTCACAATACATTCCAAATACTTAATCCATAGATGTTTTTAAGTGTAGGATAGGGATTTTACCTCTTGTAGCTCAAACCCTAACTTGAACCCTTTTGAATGATTCTTGAAGATTAGAGAAATCCCTATGAATTTCAATCCATGTAGATGTTAATACTATCATTAACTAGTATTAATCTATTATAAAAATATCATAAAACTCACATGTGATGTGTATTTAGGTTGGGGATGATCCACCTTCTCTCTAGAACCCAAAACTTAGCCAAAAATAAAATTTATTTCTCTTTCTCCCCGAATCCCCCTATTTTTTTTTATATAGAAAATAGCCTGCGTAGGCAAATTCCTACGTAGCTTGCCTGCGTAGCCTACATATATTGGCTACGCAGGCTTGTGTAGCCTTTGCAGCTTAAGCCCCCCCACTTCTATTCTGTTTTTGCCTATGCAACTTGCGTAGGCTACGCAAGATGGATACGCAGGTCTGCTGGAATCCTTTCCTCCCTCTTAGCTCAATCATTCCAATCTATGCCTTTAATCATACTACTTGAGGACCTTAAATTCATCCTACCTTCATGCCTAAGTATTGTAATGATCCTATTACCCTCGTGTGGGTTTGCAAGCACTTCGAGGTCTCGCAAAATATTCTCTTAAGCTCGAGTTCGGCTTAATCTTGTTAGAAAATTTTTCTGGGGCTTCACAGTAAAGTCATCCCGAGTGAGAACCTTACGACTCGGCATAGACTTCTGGTCATTGACTTGGATATCATGAGGAAGTGTAGAAAGAGGGTTGTGTTTGATCTACCTAGGATCAAGTGGGGAGCTTTGACAAAAGACAGAGCACAAGAGTTGGGAGATAAGTTACTGGCTATGGGAGCATGGAGGAGTAGTGGACCGCGACTACAAATTGCATTAGGGAGGTTGCTAAACAGGTATCGGGGGTCTTGAAGGGTCATCTGGTGGTCGTAAAGGGGATTGGTGGTGGAGTATTGAGGTTCAAGGTAAAGTGGAGGCCAAGAAAGTGGCATATCTGAAGCTTCTGGAGAGCGTGGATGAGAAGGTGAAGAGGGCGAATAGGGAGCGGTATAAGATGGCTAAGAAGGAAGCGAAGTTAGCAGTTACTGCGGCCAAGACCGCTACATTTGAACATTTGTATGAGGAATTCGGAGGTAGCGGAGGGGATAAGAAGTTGTACAGGTTAGCCAAAGTGCGAGAAAGGAAGGCTCGGGACCTAGACCAAGTGAAATACATCAAGGACGAGGATGACAGAGTTTTGTTGGATGAGGCACCGATTCGGCATAGATGGCAGACTTACTTCCATAAACTCTTGAACGAAGAAGGGGATAGGAACATTGAGCTAGGCAACTTAGAAAACTCTGAGTGTCGTTGGGACTTTGAGTATTGTAGACGTATAAGAGCTCAGAAGGTTGAGGGATTGTGTGTAAGATGAGCAGGGGGAGAGCGACCGACCCTGACGAGATCCCGATGGAATTTTGGAAGAGCGGGTTTGGAGTGGCTCATTGGGTTATTTAATGTAACTTTTAGGATGACGAAGATGCCCGAAGAATGGATATGGAATACGATGGACCCGCTGTATAAGAATAAGGGTGACATCCAAAGTTGCAACAATTACCGGGGCATCAAGTTACTAAGTCATACTATGAAAGTCTGGGAGAGGGTGGTGGAGCTGAGGTTGAGGAGGCTTTTGGATATTTCTGAGAACCAGTTTGGATTTATGCCAGGTCGTTCGACTACGGAAGCTTTTCATCTTGTTAGGAGGTTTATGGAATAGTATAGGGAGAGAAAAAAGGATTTACATATGATGTTCATCGACTTAGAGAAGGCTTACGATAAAGTGCCAAGGGAGGTTCTGTGGAGATATTTGGAGGCTAGAGGTGTTCATGTTGCTTACATTAGGGTTATTAAGGACATGTATGATGGAGCTAAGACTCGAGTGAGAACCGTATGAGGGGACTCAGAACACTTCCTAGTTATGATGGGGTTGCATCAGAGGTCAACCCTCAGTCCATTTCTATTTCTCTTGGCGATCGATGCGCTACCGCGCCATATTCGAGGAGAGGTACCGTAGTGCATGTTATTTGCAGATGACATTATTCTGATTGACGAGACGCGAAATGGTTTTAATGGAAGGTTTGAGATCTGGAGGCAGACCCTGGAGTCTAAAGGTTTCAAGTTGAGCAGATCAAGACAAAGTATTTAGAGTGCAAGTTCAGTGAGACAACTCAGGGTGTGGACGGAGAAGTGAGGCTTAATTCTCAAGTCATCCCTAGGAGAGAGAGTTTTAAATACCTTGGGTCAGTTATACAAGGGAATTGAGAGATCTACGAGGATGTTACATATTGTATTGGGGCGGGATGAATGAAATGATGGCTCGCTTCAGGTTTTTGTGTGATAAGAATGTGCCACCTAAACTTAAAGGTAAGTTTTATAGAGCGGTGGTCAGACCGACTATGTTATATGGGGCTGAGTGTTGGCCAGTCAAGAATTTCCCTGTCCAAAAGATTAAGGTGGCTGAAATGAGGATGTTGAGATTGATGTGTGGGCATACCAGGCTAGATAGAATTAGAAATGAAGTTATTCGGGATAAGTTGAGCGTGGCCTCTGTGGAGGACAAGATGCGGGAGGCGAGACTTAGATGGTTCGGATACGTGAACAGGAGAGACGCAAATGCACCTGTGAGGAGGTATGAGAGGTTGGCCCCGAAGGGCTTAAGGAGAGGTAGAGGTAGGCCGAAGAAGTATTGGGGAGAAGTGATTAGGCAAGATATGGAGTTGCTCCAACTCATTGAGGACATGACCATGGATAGGAAGGTGTGGAGGTTGAGAATAAAAGTAAAGAGTTAGAATAGGCCGCCTAGCGTTGTCCTTGTCTGTAACAATAGATTAAGTACATGAGTTAGCGTTAGTTATGTATTTTTGTATTTCTTGATTTATGTGATTACTAGTCGTTGCTTTCGTTTTGGCCTTCTGATTGCAATAATCACTTTAGTTTTGTATCTTTGTATTTTTTTTCTTGGTTTTAGAATTGGTGTGATTGTTGTTGCCCTTCCTTTTGTCTTTCCTAAGCCGGGGGTCTTTCGGAAATAACCTCTCTGCCTTCATGAAAGTAGAGGTAAGGTCTGCGTACATACTACACTCCTCAGACTCAACTTGTGGGATTACACTGGGTTTGTTGTTGCTGTTGTTGCAAGGGACGGTCCTATGGATTTTTCACTTGCTGTTAACTTTGTGTTTTTTCTTAAACAATATTAATTTGTTTTGTATTACATCAGAGAAAGGGGAGGGGGAAAGGAAAAAAAGATGCTACGCGACTGATGAGATTTGAATCCTCGAGCTAGTCTTAACCTCCAAAAAAAATGGAGAAAAAAATAAGAAGAAAATAATACTTCATTCCATAATAAAACTTGAGAGGAAACATCCATAAAGATCCTGGTAATGGTTAGTCATCCAGTGTCTCCTTTTAACTAAAAAGAGCTATCCATCATACACATGATTTATCTTCTGATATATAAAATCTCACTTTACACCTCTACTTGGTAAGAGAGGCTTGATATATTGTAGCCATGTTGCCTCAGTATTTAGGTTTAGTCACGAGGATACAACACGTGATGTGTGAGTAAGACGAAGTCCGATATATATGTTGGCAGAAGGATAAAGAAGTGGAACCATACTCCTCAGAGTTTTGAACCTGTGAGCCAGAAGCCCACAAGAAATTTTTTCAACAACAATAACAATAATAACAAATACAATATAGTCTCACAAGTGAGGTCTGGGAAGGACAGTGTGTACGCAGACCTTACCCCTGAGTTAAAGATAGAGAAGTTGTTTCCTATAAACCCCGGGCCTAGGAAAAGATGAAAAGAAAGTAGTAGTAACAACCAGTAATAACAACAAGATAATAAGAAAACAAAGAGAAAAGAAAGAATTGTCTTCGACAACAAAAAAGAAAAGAAAGAGAGATATTGTAGCCAAGTTAGGTATATTCATAGTTTAGCTTTCTATGGCAGCATTGAATTCATTGACATAGGCATAAGTTGGGCAATGCACAAGGTTTTCTCATTTCTCTTTGGACCAAACTCCAATCTAAATAGTTTGTTTTTGTTCTATAGTTTGAATTCTCATATCCCTCATTAGCTGGAGCAGAAAAGAAAACCTAACTAACTCGGAAGAAAGTGACGGACATCTTCTTTATCATATTTTGTTCAGTTTATGTGAGATTATTTTATTTTTAATTTGTTTCAAAAATAATAATTTCTTTTTAAATATTTGAAATTAATTTAAGTATAAACATCTCATTTTATTCTCAGTGACATGATTTTATAGTCATACAAAATGCCATTGACATGTTTAAGATCATAAATTTTAGTTTATTTTATTTTTCCTTAAATTTTGTGTTTATTAAAATAAATTTACATAAATAAGATGCGAGGAGTATGTGTCAAGGGTGTGCACAATTTCAAATTTTCAATCTCTCTCCCACTCCAAACTTAAGGTAAGATGAAGAGAAGAAAGGAGAGAAACGTGCTTGCAAAAGCTTAGCACCAAACCGAGTCAAAATATAAGTATGTTGATGTGGCATTGTAAAAAATATCCACATCTCTCTAAATACTCTCTAAAACTTTTCCTCTCTACAACGGCTAATTAAAAGTTCATGTCTTAACGTGTCATGCACACGCTCCACTAGATGGAGCCGCCGGGAGGCATCCCATTGGCACGTACGACAGATCAGATTCACCCCATAGGTGAAACAACTCACAATGTCGGTTCTAATCTAGGAAAACCATCCTATGCTAACACCATCACAACTCCTTCGTCATCTGCTCAGATCCCCAACCCAAACTCCAATCGCCATGAAAAGGAAAAAGTGATAGCAAGACATACGACACACAATGGCATGCCAGTTGTGGTTTTTAAAGCTAAATACTACTACGGCATAATGGCGGATTCATGTAAGTACACAATTGTGGGAAAATTTCTTCGACCATTCCGTTGAAGGGGTCAGTCAAAATAGGGGTCTATGAGAATCATAATGTTTTCATTGATATCTTCAATAATGATGATTGGAAATCAGTATGGTTCAGAAGAGTTATCGAAGTCGATGAGATGCAAATGTGGTTACAAAAGTGGTCACCAGACTTCAAGCCAGAAGATGATCTGTCAGTCGCTCCGGCATGGGTTCTTTTGCCAGCTTTACCGTTTCATATGCATGATTGGCATTACATAAAATAATTGTTGAGCTCTGTAGGTACGCCTCTAGCTCTAGATGCTGCTACAATTGGTAGAAGAAGGCCTAGTATGGCCAAAATTAGAGTGGAAGTGGACCTATTAAAACCTTTGCCTCAAAGTGTTTTTATGGGTCAAGAATATGATGAATCGCCGTTAAAAGGGTATACCAAAAAATTAGAGTATGAAGGCGTCCCAAAATATTGTAAACACTGTCGGAAATTGGGTCACTACATAGTCAATTGTAGGGCTCTTTAAAAGAAAAAGGCTGATCAAGCTAAGGCGGAGGGAGATAGAGATGAGCTTATCAAAAATGAGGATGAAGCATATTCTATGAACAAGATGATGAAAGAAAACAATGATGGCAAGGAGGATACAAATAAAGTGGATTCTCATAGTGTTGACAATGGAAAAATACAACAGGAAGAGGGGAATGAAAATACAAAGACCATTAGCAATAAAGAAGGGAAAACAAGAAGAAAAGAAATAATAAGAAGAAAATCAAAAAAATGACGAAGAAGAAAAGCAAAGTGAGATTCAAACCTGCCTAGATGAGTAGCAAAAAGAATGTTATTTTTACATCGACGAGCAAACAAAATGATTAGTCTATAGCTGCCATTAGAGACAGTATTCAAAATCAAGAAACACTATATACACAATAACATGAGCGACAAAGCAAAGTTAATGATACTTGCAGGAATGAAAGGTTAGAGAAAGGGGAAGCTCCTAATATAGAAATGGAAGTTTGTCAATCAGATGTCGTATAATAGAGATACTAGCAGGGAGGAAGAAAGCAAGGCAGAGGAAATGCACAAGCATACAACATGTGCCTCAAGCTCCTCTACTGTTCCAACAGAGGTAAGGAATCAACCTAGTTTAAATTTAGTTATTGATCTGGATGGCAAAGAATGGGACCAGGATATGAATGAGGGCAATACTAACAGACTCAATATGACATCAAAAAAAGACAGCGACACGGAGAATGAAGACATGGAGGAAGTTTCTGAAAGTCAAAAAGTGGATAACCAATACATTGCTAAAATAGGGAGAAGTGAAGCTTGAAAAAGTGGCAAAGGACAAAAAAAATAGAACACATCCTTCTCAAAGAAGGAAACAAAGAGAGGAAAACATCCCAAATTGTTCTTATGATTAATGCAATCTTCTGGAATATAAGGGGGGTGAGGTCCAAAAAAGTCATTCACAGGCTTAAAAAGCTGATTGACATCAACAACACACAATTTGTAGCTGTCTTTAAACCTTTTATTACTAAAGAAAAGGTGGATGGATACAAGAGATTCTTAGGGTATCAACATTGCCATTATAACGGTAATGGTCAAATTTGGTGCTTCTGGAATT